GGCGCGCACGGATGGCACAAAGCCATAGTAAGGAGTGCGCCGTCCGATCATCTTCACTCAACTGCCCTCTCGCTCGGCCGGGCCTGCATCCACCTAGGTACCGAACCAATGGCATCCTCCCGCAGTGGGCATAGCGTGATTTAGAACGGCCATTAACTGCCTTGTTGGGTTTTGCCATGTATAATCTAGTCTTGACAGCCATCGAAGTTTGTTAATGGCGCAATCATCTCTGGTACAGCTTATGCTGTCTTCTACGTCGCTGCCACGATTCCGTGCAGCTTCAGACGTATGCCCTACAGATTGAACCCAAGGCCGCAAACTGCTGGTCGAGGGTTGGTACAGTAGTGTAGCCTCTTAGTCCGATCATCATCCATGTCCGGGACCCTCATGCCAAAATTAGACGGCTAGGCTAAGAGAACTCATCAATGATGGTCTCTCCAGGGACGCACGCTCTCTGTTCGCTACCTGATAACAATGACTGATCGACGGTATTGACGCGCACCCAGTTCGACGTCATCGTCATTCTTGCATGTCCTTCTCGCTGCGCCTGATGTTTCGGCCTTGGACACAGGAGACCCTTCGTATTACACTGCTCCACAGCATAACGGACCCTCACGGTCCATGCCCGCGGTCGGCGCGATACCGTCAAGCCAAAATTATGGGTAGCCCGTATCTGCCTAGCGGCTGCACTCTGTAGACACCGTGGAAGCTTGAATGGCTGAGTCGAGCCACACCAGGGCTGTCGTTGCTTGTGATTTCTGCAAGCCGGGGTATGTGATTCTCCATTCAGCCTGGAGACTCCGAGATGACACTCCTGCGAGACGCTTCGCCGCCTGGGCACTCCTCTTGCTCGTGCCTAACATGCAGCCGCCTGCATATTCGCTACCCGGTGCGAAAACATCGCCCAAGCCCGGTGCGCTTGTCGCAATCCCTGCTAGATACCCGTCTTAATAACGTCTAGCTAAGAGAAGAAAGCCTGTTTAGACTTCAAAGTCGCCTCGCGGATAGGTTGTTGGGCGCACAAATTGCTTTGGATGATTTTGCTCCCAGATCGATTTCAGGAGGCTGCCGGTGGCTTGCCAATGCTGCCATCATGAAAGCACAGACACTGCCCCGGGCAGGCCGCTACTAGGTATTTCTCCTTATGGCTACACGCATGCAAGCCAATACCAACCTCGCTGATCTGAAGCAAAGCATCAGTTCGTGACTGTGACTTCCCTCGACCGCTATTTGAGGAACGTCATGATTACCTGTACATCGTGATCGTTTCGCAAGACAAAGCATTCCGACCTGCTTCCGGCACCTGCAACATGCGTTGTCGAAAGAGTGTTCTTGTTCTACAATGTGCTGCGCTTCTGCAGTTGCATGAGCTGAACGCGGCTCGCCAGCCTCCCGGGCGCTCGCTGTTGGCTACAACTTGAAGTAGTGTTCGATGCAGCGCTGCAGCATTACTGCGGGACATGACGCCGTCTCTGTTAGCTCTCCCGCCCCTCATTAATTCCAACCTCTCGTCTGCCTCAATCCTAACGTTCTGTTCACCCCGCCTGCGAACGCGTAATCGTGTACGGGAGATCTGGGGGTTGGCCAGCTAGCCTCACCCTACGTGCGTCTCAACACATGGCAGGCGTTCGATCGATCCGCGCTCGGCTCCTGGAGATCAGCCGAACCAAATTGGTTGGCATTCGCTTACATTGCAACACTTTCCAGCTGATGATAATGCTTTTCAGTCGCTACACAGAGCGTTCATTGTTCGGTCCTTTGCGTTTGAACTTACGTGGTCAGTCGCAATCAGAGCCAGTCGGCTTTTCAATTTCGCTTCATTCATTCCACTATCACAGTTCCTTGTCTTAAAATCCTCAACGCCAAGGCGCAGCAACAGGACTTTGGAAGGTGCAAAGAAAGAATTTCGGCGAGACCGTTGCAGGAGCACGATTCTCGATATTCTCCTACTATGAGCGCGTCATCTCTGCAGCGACCTTCGGACATTTTGCTTCTTTGCTGCCGGCTATGCTAAACTTGCTTTATTCTCGGTTTCTGGCCTGTCACTATCCACATGGGACCATGTGGGTATAGGGATACGATGCCCATGCAATTGGTGTTTCTTCGTCCGGCTGTAGTGCTTGAAAACGTCGTATGTCCGAGCTAGGATTATGGTCGCATCTGACAATGTTTGTGAATGCTGCCGTCAGCATGTTAGGAAACAGACAACACGCTTTTGCATTCTGCTCTGATGGCTCACACACCGCGCCCCGTGTCGGTGCCACTTTGACGGCATCTGTAGTAAGGTGGTTTTGACGCAGGGTAATGCTAGGACTTCAGTCGCCGTGACGTCAATCGAGATCAACAGGAAGGCCCAAGTTTCCTATACACGCGTAGGTCATAGTCGTCGAGGAAGAGCACAGGAAGCATAAGAGAACACCATGTCTAATGAAGTGGCCGTCAAAAAGAAAGAGGTACGCTACCACAGAATGCAGTTTCTCAAATGCTCTCAAACAGGAAGCCCCGGACTCACCGAGGCACGTGGACGATCAATAGGGGTCCAATGACGCAACTGTGCAAACGGAAAGAACGCTCATTCCACCCTCAACATTTGCTTCCAGCACGGGACCCGCTCTTCTCGCCCGCAATTGCTTCTCCCTCACCTGCTAGCCGAATCCCCACTTTCCCGAACTATTTGACGACTTTCTCCCTACATCGGCGGCAGTACTAGCAATCAGATGTCAGAAGACCCGTACGAAAAAAACAATATCACCCCAACCCCCGCACGCCATGCCCATTGACTTTCTCGAGCTTCTGCTTGGAACTCGGCAAGCAGGTGTGTCATGCTCTACGGAAACATATGCCTTGTGTTAGGGGGTCTGGTGACAATGACTATGATGTCAAAGAATGGCATCCCGTGGACACCTACAGGAGCCACAAGCAGAACTGCACTAATGGAGTCACCGTATTGCCCTTATTCTCTTAGAAGACGTCGCAGAGTTTCAATTCATTGGTTGTTGGCTGATAAAACCAAACCACGACTGCGGGCTCGAGCTTAAATATAATCCGGCACTAATTTGCCCTCACGAGGCTCGTCGTGTCGTCTCCGTTCCGACTTCGACACCGTACCGACAGGTCCCAAGAAATCCACGCTCCACTCAGAAGGTCTCGCCATCTTCATACGACATGTCGGGATTATAAGCAAAATACGGGTATATCGGTAGCGCTCACGGTCTGTCAAAGTCCAAATATGGGTAACGAAGTAGACCGCTTCGGAATTGTCGTAACTGCATTATTCAACAGCAAACTCACTGAACTACCAGTTGCTGTGTCTTCATATTCCAGCTCCCAGCTTGGTAGGTCTACCAAACAGTCTTGTGTAGGCGCAGTCAAAAGACTAAGCATTTCAGTCACGGGTGCTTTCACAGATCCGACCACCCGAGAGGATGGAAACGAGAAGACTATCACCTTTCATCGTCTCTCTAGCTCAACTTCAGCAAGCTAGTCGCAAGGTTTGTCAGCCATGTGAAAAAAGGCAATTATGCGGGGATATATGCTATGCGGAAATATATGCTGTGCGTGAGCGGGTCATCTTCAGTACGGCCTTATATCCCTTTGACATACCAATTGCCGCTGAAGTATCACATGGTAGATGGACCCCATTTGATCGACAACTTCCCCACCTAATGAAATTACGATATAGAAGAATTCCGCACATCTCCTCTTCATACAATCTGGAAAATGTGTGTATATTATGCTGATGCATGGATCATTAACTGCCGAACTTGGGCATATTAATATCTTTCATAGGTCCTATTGGCTGAAGAGAAGGCCCCATCCTTTGAGGCGATAGCATTGGGCTTTTGGCGATAATGATAACATGCTTGGATTCTCCGTTCTAAGTCGGTCGAGAAAGAACTGTCTCACGTTCATGTCTGTCACCCGCGAGGATGCCTAACTTCTTCATCGCCATTATCAGCGCTCTGGCAATACAAACATACGCAGCATGCACGCGCGAAGTCCTCAAAGCAGTGACTGATGAGCTCTTCGCTGCCCAAACCGCCGGACAGACGAATTTTAACTCTCTGTCAAGTACCGTCGCATATACGGAGAACCGCAAGAGTGTTGATATCAAGACCGGCATCCTCTCCAAATCCATGAAAATTGATCATGCTCGATCCCAACACGACACTACTCAATGTGCCGCCTTCAGCGAATTCATTGTCACCGATACCGCTGCACCCTATGTGATCGCAACGCAACTACGACTCGACAACTCCACCAAAGTCTCGCAAATCGACACAATCTGGACGAGCAAGGGAGACTGGCTCTTCAACGTCACGGGAACATACTATTGGGCTACTCACGAGAAATGGGACGCCATCCCTGCTGAGAAACGTGACTCCCGTGCTGTCATCAAAGCAGCAGGAGACGCTTACGCCGACCTGTTCAACAACAAAAGCGTCAAGGTACCATGGGGCTCGCCATGCGCACGTCTGGAAGGCGGTGCGTATACGGGTAAGGGTGAGGCGACAGACAGGTGTGATGTTGGTGTGCCTAGTGGCGTGCCGCTGGTTAATAGGCAATATGTTATTGACGAGGAGTATGGCACTGTTGATATCATCATGGATTTTGGAGGCGTTCAAGGTCAGGTTGGGGCTGATGGATTGCCGGACAGTCACGAGTTTAGGGTTGAGGGAGGGAAGTTGAGATACGTGCATACGCTATCGAGTTGTGGGGGGAAGGCGTGTATGTAGTCTTTCTTGCCCTCAATGGTGAGGTTGCAAAATAACATGAAGACTTGAGGTTATGAGAAAAACAGACGTCATTTCGTAGGAAATAGAAGATTTCAGTTTGATCTAGACTTTTCCCCAGAGAGTTATGGTTTTTGTGGCATAGAATATCGTCAGGTTAAAGGACTTACGAGAAATAGTTGGATGTCTAATGTAGGGCTCACTTCTCGATCGGGCCTACTACACTTCGCCATCGTCATCGTCTCCACTCTGAACGGGTCCTCAATCTCAGTACCACATCTCCACGTCGCCATTGGCCCCATACCGTGCCTCCGAAGAACCTCTTACATCCAAGTAATCCACCCATTCATCACTCTCCACAGCTAGTGCTCTAGGAATCCTCTTGAAGATGCCGGAACCATTCCCGTCAAATCCAATGGGAAACGATCTCTGTGCTTGAGACGTCTCAGTTTCGTCACCCGTGGGGTGGACATCGACTGGTTTCCTGACCGATGTAGCGTGTGGTACGTCTGTCATGTTGACATCCCCGGCCTCTTCGGTAGAGAAGGAGTTGTGTATAATGCCGTTTTGGCAGGCATACCTCTGGGTAACACGAACAGGCCTGGTGTAATCTTGTAGACGCCACGTTTTGCATCTAGACGTCTGCGTGAAAGCCCAAACCAAAATCTCCGGCTGAGTTTGTATTGCGAGCTCGCAGACGCCTATCAATCTTCCGATTTCCGTGCCACTAATAGACAGAGGCCATATTGAACTGTTGTTCTCAACCTCGTGTTGAGTCGATGGTTCGCAGGATAGTGGCTCATCCCACTATTTGAGCCAATGATCCCTCTGGTGCCTCAATGTTAGATTCGTAGAGGCAGTGTAAGACTCCCAGCTCTTAACATTTTGCTCCATCTGTGATAGTTGAATGACATCCGGGGGGACGCTATACAACACGAGGGTTTCGCCGTAAGTCACAACGACGCGAACACCCTGAGACAAGTCCGCAGCCGCAATGTACAGCCTTGGTACCATATACTTTTCCGGTGGGATGAATGTGATCTTGCGAAGGAGTTTCGTGGGTCCACCAAGCGGTGCGTCGCAGCCTAATGTTAGTAGGCCATTGGCTGGGTCGATGAACAGAATGTGGTATCCGTCGCTCAGGGGAACAGCATGATAGTGATCGCAGTTCGGCGATCCTGGTTGGTTCGACGCAGATTCAAACCCAAATGAACCCCAGAAAGCGCTCATAGTAGGGCGACCAAAGAATTTACGGCTAATGGCGGGCCGGTCTTCTGGATGGGCTGCACTGGATATGAGACGCAGCTTCTTGGCCGATTCAAAGGCTGGTCTTGGTGAAAGAAAGTACAGGTGGTCGCCTGCTGGGTGTTAGTCACGTAACAGACACAAGGAATGTGTACTAACTCGGTGCTGTGAGCGGAAACTAACGACTCAGGCTTTGACCTGTGAGCGCATCTATCCAATGCAACTCGATGCCTGCAGAACAGCCGAAGGCGACACAGCGACGTTGTGGGCATATCGAGATACTGCGTGGCGGATCGTCTTCAGCGCACAGGTGGCGATAAATCGTTGTTGTCCCGGTTTCAACAGGAACACTATGAAGACATGAGCGGGAAATACAATTTGCCTGGGCTGTGTGATTTCGCGAGGGCCCGGACAGGATGAGGTTCCATGCGTGGTTGATGAAGTGTTGATCGTACGTCCGACAATCATTGGTGTTATGGAGATTGATGTGCTCGTTGTTCGACCTTACGCTAATCGTGTCAAAGCTTGCAGGATCTCTCTCTTGGACGAACGGACGATGCATACGAGCTATGCTGCGTCCTTGAAGATTCATACCGGTCTCATAGTCGTTGACACAGCTGGTCTGAATAGATGCTGATGCGGTGCCCTTCTCTTGGCCATCAACGTCAACGTGAACCTCAACAGGATCGTTGCCTCTAATCGTGCGACCATAATGGAGCTCGCAAACCAGACCCATGCGTCCTTCGAGGAGGGCCGCGATTGCGTGTCGGCCAGAAGAGACGTCCATGCTTACCTCGAGGACCCTTCTTGGACAGATGACACTCGTGATAGGGACAGGAACGCCATTATCTAGGTCGTAGATGTAGATTAGAGTCTCTCGTGCTACGCACACGAATCTGCTGCAGAGACTTGTGGCAAATACCAAACCACCTGCATATCCGTTGGCTAGCTCAGAAAAGTCGACTTCGGATCTTTCTGTAATGGCGACTCTGGTGTCCAGTCCGTTTCCGGTCCACCCAGATGACAACGCACACTGCCGAGAAAGGTGCCGACTGAGTAACCATTCCTTGCTTTGCGAAACAGTGTCTGCGATGGGATGAGAAGAAACACTGCGGGCTCTACAGTTGGTATCCTCAGCGCCACTCAGCCAGCCACCTCTTCTTAGCATCGTAGTCAGCAGTTTCTTATCAAGACTTGCCCGCATCCAGTGCTGACAAGTATGGCGTACGGCATTGAAGTCCTTTGGACTAAGGTAATCGTATACGTGGTGAAGTATTTCCACCGGAAGGTGGTACGAGCTCGGAAACGTCGGTGGTGCTGCAACGCTTAAAGCGAGGTACCAGGCACGATTTGTTAGGCGTAACGCGCTCCAAGTAGCCGTATCCAAATATGGCGAGAGGAGTGCAGCAAAAGTACACACGGGAGAAGTGGAATTATTTCTGACGGAATGAAGACGATTGCGAACGACGTGCTCTTGTGTGTCACTAAAGACTGATGAGCTATCCTCGAGTGTAACGATTGAAGAGCTTTCATCCCTTTCTGTCGGCGTGCGAACGCCAAGCAGAACGTCATTTACAGTGCGGGTAATGCCTTCGTCGACACCAGGCTCCAATATTGCATCCTCAGTAACACTGCTACTGTCGAGCATTGAAAAAGAGTCAGTTCGTGCCCGACGTATTAGTTGTACATCGCTATTTGTCTCCGCGAGACTTGGAAGGCGGGACAGCGAATCGCTATGAGATCCGGCAGACCGGAGACTTGGTCCACTGAACATGAAGGCAGTAGGTGAGATGACATCCAGGCTAGGTACTGAACCATATAGGGAGGACCCCGGCCTAGAACCAAAGCTGGATGCCCGCGATCTTGCCTTGGGAAGATCTGCGACTACGTTACGATCGTGGGCACCACCGAAGAAGGATGTGATGTATCTGTGAAAAGCAACACGTGGTCTGGACTGTAGCCGAGACACGAGGGCAGTATTGGGACAATCGGCTTTGGCGACACGAGGCATGTTCTTATGGTTGTGAGGATCGCGACTTCTTGAAGGTCGAGGAAAGACATGGCGGAGAACTTCGGAGCGTCTTGGAGCTGGTGGCTGCACGTCACTTGTAGTATTCGAGGAGTCTTCGTGCTGTGAAATTGTTGGTGATCGGCTTGATCCACCCAACAGTGGAGTCTTCTTCGCGTGGTCCTGCGTGTGGGACATTCTTTCGTGGCAAGTACAGGACGGAGTGAGAGACAGTCGTTGCGTGGTCGAAGATTCGACGAATGAGGCCACCTGGATGTCAAGAATAGGAAGCGCTGGCTCAGACTTGGTTCCGGCTACCCCACGCGATAGGTATATCTGGGAAGACGTGGTTGAAGCACCCCCCAAGGTGGAGGTGCACCGCCGGTCTGAGGTAAGTTACCGCTGAGGCTGGTCGGACGGGAAGTGAGACAAACACTAGCCACGTCGAGAATACTACCGCCTTTGCGTGACAAAAGAATACGAAAAGTAGTATGGATAAGATGTCCCAAAAGGTTTGGGTGGTTGTGGTGAGTGAGTAAAGAATGTGAGGTGTCAGTGTTGTAGGCTCATAACTAAATTCATTGCGGTGGTGGGTATCAACGAACACAAATCAAGAAAGAGCGACAAAGAGTACAAGAAGGCCAGACTGTGGACCGTATACAAGAAGGTGCAATCGTAACCTTGCTGAGGAAAGTCCGCTTGGGCTACTCCCAGCTGCCGTTGGCACCGTTGGCACCGTTGGCATCATTAGATCCAGATCCGTGTGATCCGTTTTGAGGTCTACCGTGTCTGTTCAGTAGCCATACATCATCCAGACTAGACATCCTTGGGTCAGTGAAAGCCGCACAGGATTGGGGAAGATATACATACGGCATAATGAGACTGGGGTTCTCGAAGCGCAGGCCCCGTTCTCGGGCCTCGTCTACTGTAAGTCTACCCACAGTTCTCAGTCCAGCCTGACCATACGCAACAGCTTCTTCCTGAACGTTGCGTCCAAGATCCGATTGTTCTGGACTCCGCAAGCTTCTCAGGGCGATGAATTTCATCAGTGGTCGATAAGTGCGCGCAAATACAACAAGGAACCATAGAGTACAAACGACCAGCGGCGCTACCATAACGGCCCGCTTGAACGCCTTCTTGAGAGCCAATTGGCCAGCGACAGTAACTTGGAACAGTACGACACCAACAATGACGCGGTCACACATCATCGTCCAACCCTTGCCAGTTGAGTGCTGACGGTGTTCCATGGCATACAAGAGTTGATACTTGTGAACGAAGTGGCCGATCATGAAATAGGCCACACCGACAAGCAGAACTTGCCATGAGTCTCTCAACACACTGTAGACCATGCAGATGATGAAAATGAGGATGGTTTGTGGTAGGAAGAACCCATAACTGAAGACTGGCGGCTGTACCAATTCGGCATAATCTCGGGGGGTCTTAGCCCCAATCAGATAAACCGGATACAGAGATAGGGCTCCGAACTCCATAAGTCGGAACGGGAACAGTCCGAATGCTTGAAGGATGATGAAGTTGGTATAGAAGCCCAGTAAATTCGAGAGCGATGTTGCCAAGGCGTATGCGATCTGTGTGGCGCTGGTGAGCTTCTCGGCGAAGCGCTCAAGCATCGTCAGAAAATTGGAAGCAGTTCCTAGTATCGTGAAGAGGATGAAGAAGTTGAAGAAAACGAAGAAGAAGTTCTTCGAAATGACTGACAACTCAACATCGCCTTGTGAGATCATCCCTTGTTTATTAGCGAGCCCTGGGGAGCATTAGCATGTCAAATTTTGGCCATTCAGAAACAGCACACTTACAGTCGTACAAGAAAGGCACAGCTACATTGATCAGAGTAAGTGCCAATGTGGGAAGCTGAGTGTTGACAAGAGACTCTACAAAATCGTTTTCGTGCAGTACATTTGCCAGGCCCGGGAAAACCTCTTGGATGGAGCACGTGTTGAGAGCACCAGCAATGGGCACTAGCAGGACTGTCCAGAAGACACTCAAGATACCAATCGCGACGGTGATTGACCAAGATCGAAACATTCTTTGACGGCGAGACAGGTAAGTATTGGACCAGACCACATCCTGTGGTGCTGGACTGTTGTGGGCTAGGAGTTGCAGTGGAGAAGGGTCAAGCACAGCCTGGATGGCCATTTGCGCACTTGCAACGCTATCCATGGTCACAAATGCCAGCGGGGTCGGTTCAAAGTCTTTCTTGCGCAGCGTGCGGATCTCGTCGTCAATCCTACGCAGCTTCTCCTCGTAATAGTCAATGGCATCTACTCTCTTGTATCGTAGCTTGAAGCGGCCGTACCAGATCTTGGCTGTCGGGCGCTGCTGGGCGTAAGGAGTGATGTAATCAGGATCCCGATCTGCGTCGCTTAGGAAATGACTTGTCTCACTCTCGTCGTTCCCGCTGCTTTCCGAAGGTTGTGGCGGACGTGGCTGAACGACTGGGAGAGTCTCCAAACTTCGTTCCACTTGGCGGCTTCCAAGATGGACAGTCCAAGCTTCCTCGAGCTTCCGCAAGATGGCCTGCCTCTCGACGACTTTGCTATCGAGCTCTTTCCAGTCCTTGCAGAGAGTCACACTCTCAACCTTTCCGATGCCAAGGTCCATGATGAAGTTCTTGATCTTGTCCTCGGATCTAAGGTCCACTGGGATACCCGATAATCGGATGGTTCGGTCGGTGATGGTTGTCTGGCTTCCCAAGTACTCTTGCCGGATATCGATAATCCTCCTCGTCTCCGAGACAATCAAGTATAGTATGAGGGCGGTGAAGAGGTAGACAAAGACGAGATACATCCATAGGTAGTCGGTGTATTGTTCGTATTCGGCCGCGAATGTAGAAATCGTACTTCGTGTCTCAAGATGGTCCCAGCTGGGTTCTTCGTGGATCGGGGCTTTCTTTCCCTCCTTTTCTTGATGTGTGTCATGCACCGGCTTGATGACGGCCAGGGCGAAGAACAGCGTAACAAGCAGAAACTTGATAGCCATCTTGAAGAAGGCAAGGTATACATAGGCGTCGAGGCCGGCCGATGCCAGCACCTGTTCGTCGGTGATGTTCCATAGTGGTATGATCCAGCCGAAAAGGCTATCCGGAAGCTCGGGCAGCGAGGTCGCGAGGTCGTTCTGCTTCTTGCGTGCAGCGTAGAGGCCTTTCCATCGTGGGCGGAGGAACTAGGGTGGAGAGTCAGCAGGCGGGCAGTAAGACGAGGCTGCGAAGACGAACGCAGAAGGTCAGAAATGCACCTATGCCAAGCGCGAAGGAGATGGAGATCTGGAGGTGGATGTCGCGCGGCCGGTCTTTGCCCCAAATGTCGTTGCTGCCATCCTTGCAAGTGTTGTGGTCGCTACTGTTGCGCTTGATCATCGCCAGGTTCTGTCAAGTCGCCATGAAAACCGTCGAGGGCTGCGAGTTGTGTATAACTCGAGGATCGAGTCTGGTGTTGGCCATGTCATGATCCGCACGCTAGCCGCTCAAGCCATGCGACAGCAAGCTTCCCCCCTGTCATATACCCGCTTCCTTCTCTAGACACCCACTCGCTCACCGCAAATCACACCGCATATACGTCGACCCAACTGCACATTCTTGAAAGGAGAGGTATACCCAACGCAACAAAAAGGTGCCGTTGCTTTGTTCAGATAGATATCATATGTCATATGACGTAGAGCCTACTAAGTTGTTGCAACAGAGGAAATGATTTCATTAAATAGTGATGAGAACGTCGAGTATCCTGGGTATCAAACGCCGCAAATCGCTAAAAGTTGCTCAACAG